GTACATGTGCATGCATGTGTGTGTATATGTATGTGTGTATGTATGTGTGCATGTGCATGTGTGCATGTGTTTGTGTGTGTGTGTATGTGTGTGCGTGTCAGCATGTGTATGTATGTGTGTGCACGTGTGTGTATGTGCGTGTGTGTGTTGTGGATGCATGTGCATGTATGTGTGTGTGCGTGTGTATATTTGTGTGTGTGTGCGTATGTGCGTGTGTATGTGCGCATGTGCGTGTATGTGTCTATGTGTATGTGTGTGTGTATGTGCGTATGTGTGTGTTATGTGTGCGTACATGTGTGTGTGCGTGTGCATACGTGCGTGTGTGTTTGTGTAGGTGTGGGCGTTCGTGCATGTATGTGCGTATGTGTGTGTTCATGTCTGTGTTCTGTATGTGTGTGTACAAGTGTGCGTCTGTGTGTGTATTTGTGCTCGTGTGTGAGAGTATATGCGTGTGTCTGTATATGTGTGTATGTGTATATGTGTGCGCGTGTATGTGTGTATGTATCTGTATGTGTGTGTGCGTGTGTGTATGCGCGTATGTGGGTGTTGTATGTGTATGTGTGTGTGCATGCGCGTGTGTGTGCATGTATAGGTGTGTGTGCGTGTATGTATGCGTGTACGCGTGTTGTGTGTGCGTGAGTATCTGCGTGTGCGTGTATGTATGTGTATAGGTGTATGTGTGCGTGTATGTGTGCAGGTGTAAGTATGTGCATGTATGTGTGTGTTGTGGGTGCATGTGTATGTGCGTGTGTGTGTACGTGTGTGTGTATGTATGTGTGTATGTGTATGTGAGTGTGCATGTTTATGTGTGTACGTGCGTGTGTGTTGAGTGAATGTGTATGTGTATGTGTGTGTGTGTGTGTGTGTGCATACGTGTGTGCATGTGTAGGTGTGTGTGTACGTTTATGTACATATGTACGTGCGTGTTGTGTGTATGTGTGTGTATGTGCGTGCGCGTGTGTATTTGTATGTGTTTGTGTGTATGTGTTTGTGCGTGTGTGCGTATGTACGTGTGTATGTGCATGTACGTGTTCATGTGTATATGTGTTTGTGTTGTGTGTGCATGTGTATGTGTGTGCGCGCACGTGCATGTGTGTGCATGTGTATATGTTTGTGTTGTGCGTATGTGTATGTGTGTCTGCGTGTGTGTATGTATATGTGTGTGCGCTTGTATGTATGCGTATGCATGCCAGCATGTATATGTGTCTGTGTGCGTGTGTATGTGTGTGTGTTGTGAGTGTGCGTGTGTGTGCGCGCATCTGTAGGAATGTGTATATGTGCGTGTATGTGTGTGTAGGCGTATGTGTGTGTGTGTGTGTGTGTATGCGCATATGTATGTGTGCGTATGTCTGTATTGTGTATGTAGTTGCGTGTATGTGTATATGTGTGTGCCGTGTCTGTTTGTGTATGTGTGTACGTGTATGCGTGTGTGTAGGTGC